AGCCCATTTTATTTGCTAGTTTTTCCCAACCAACAGAAAAACCACAGAAATTAATTTTGCAGTGATAAAGAAAATAAATCTGCAAGAAGCAGAAAATGTTTATCATGTTTTGACTAATAAAATACTGAAATGATCGATGAACCATCAGCTGGTGATGAATTATGTGTCAGTAGACTTATTAGCACAATTATCCATTTGGCTCCTCAGCCTGTGTTTCACTGACAATACCAGCCAGCAGGAAGGAGGTCAAGGTCTAAAGCCCCTGAAACTTTTTCGAAGCATTTCGAAAGAGAGAATGTTGGAGAAATAAATAAAACAAGAGCATAAAGAGGCTTATTAAGGTTGAGTTTGTGGGTTTTATAAACTGTGTCCCTGAATGTCCCTGAACTGAGACACAGCTATTGACTGAAACTTGATCACTGTGCTGTTTTTCTGCACAGCAGCTGAATTGAATGTTTCCCTGTACGCTTCCTCTGCCAGTCAACTGAGTGGGGTTCTCTTAATTTAGACACAGGAATGAAGGAGGACCGCTCGTTGCACTTACAGAAAAGGAATGATGTGGATTTGGCGGCTCTGGGGCGTCGTGGTCTGAGTGTCACACTGAAAACTGAACAAGGCAAATCGATGGGGAAAAGACAGCACAGAATATCTAAGCTGGCAGCTGCCATGTCAGGTTTCTTTTCTCCTTCACTGCCTCTTTTCTTTTCTTTCAATCCTTCTTGTTTCTTTCTTTCTCACCGGTGAGTCGTAACCTTAGTTTTATCCGTGTCTCTCTCTCTCTTCCACAGTTCACTGCATTCCTGAGGAGCCCTTCTGTCTCCTCGGGCGTTTCTTTTCCTCCCGTCTCTGCTCCCAGGTATCCTGTGGGCATCGCCCGGCAAAGCCGAGAGCCTCGGGGCAGACACACCGCTGCTTTACGCATATCTGTAATTAGTGGCTCCGTAGAAAAAGGTTTTTGCAGACGGGTTCTTAAAATGAATGGTGTGTTTATTCACCTCAGCGTGGCGTGTTGACCTGCTGGGTGTACTGAAATGAATCGGAGCTCTGTGAGCAGGGGCCGTGAACATTACAGTGCTCTGTACGTGACGTGTGCTCATGGACGCAGAAGAAACTGACGCCCTAGATTCAAGATTCAAGGTCTTTATTGTCATCATCCTCAGGTACAATGGCATTGATATATCTACACACCGGTTTAAAGATATGTAGATATAAGTTTATGTTTGTGTGGGTGGTGTGTGTTAATCACAGTCCTTGGTGCGGTGATGGAGGTCACAGGTCTGAGACACAAACTGTTCCTCAGTGTGTTGGTGGAGGATCTTAATGTTCTGAACCGTCGGTTCAACAGGATGTGTCCGGGGAGTTCGTGGTCCCTGAAAATACTGCTTTCCTTCTTCCTCTTCTTCAGTCGAGCAGCGTAGGTCTGGAGCTCCATACCAAATATGCGCTGGGCACGGTCTCTACGCTCGGCGGCTGTGCAGCTAGAAAACCATACGGTGGCACAGTTCTCTTTCATGCCCTTAGTTCCTGTGGGAGCTGGGTCTGCCTCAGTAGAACAGAGAAAACACTGAATCCCAATTCTACAGTTTTGCTGAGATCTCATTTTAAAAAGTTTCCTGCATGTCTGGTTTGAGTTTAGTGGAGTCATTGCATCAGTTTATTATATTTGTATCGCTGCCGGTGTTTGTGTGTTGTCTGATGGGTGTGTGCTTTCATTGTCTGCAATTGGCAGCAGTGTTAGTTCCACTTTGTGGTTTAGGTCTATCAGTGACTGGTGTGTTTGAGTTTGTGTTTGGATTCGCCTCTGCTGCAGTATAAAAGAAGTCCAGCCCTCACTTGGTTTAGATACCAGCCCTCTAGTGCTGACACACAGTTATATAGTGGAAGTATTTAAAACTGTAGAGTCAAAACAAACAGCACCAGATGCTTCTCAAGATATAACAAATGAACAGATTTCCTCAATTTAAGCCACAACGGTTCATTTTTATGAAAAAAGTTTGTCGAACTACTCGGTGCTTCTCAAATACTTTGCATGTGTTCCTAAGGTTACATCAGATTCATTCTTCATAAAACGTTTGCAGAGTTTCCTGTCTTTATTTTCCTTTGCTGGTGTGTTGCTGCATTTTTTGGCAATTTGCTGCCATCGACTGTTGAAAGATCCTTTTTAAAAACAAGACAATCAATAAGACAGCGACCCTCCACAGCGCCATCAGTGGTTAAAACTATTTTATAACTTTCCCTCAAAATTAAAATAATATCCTGAAGGAAGAAATGTTAAATAACGTGCTGCTCTCATGTTATTGCATTTTATTAATGGCCAGTAGAGATGACTCATTCAGTATCACTCATAATCCATCTTTTTTTATTCTTTAAGTTTACCAAGTGATTTACGATCAACACTATCAACGGTCAAAAGCTGGGAGTCAACATGACTCCTTCAAATTGAGATATTTGATCTTTCTGTGTATCAGCCAGGTTTCGTTTACGTGAGTCAGTGTCTTCACATGACATCAATCAAGTTATTGACATTTTTAAAATGTTGTTATCAGAGCAGATGGTCTTCGGCCTAAAGTTAACAATTTAAAAAAGGGATTGGCAGTAACCTGGCTTGTCTCCTCCCTTCCGTTGGCTTTAAGCCGGTTTCAGACAGTTAAATCTTTCTACCACTAACAACTGACAGTGAGCAGTATTTGCTACGTGCAGTGTTTATAAAACAGTGGTTATCTCTGTCTCAGGTTATAAAACTCTTTTATTCACACTCACTCCTTCTCCCTTCACAGATCAACGTCCTCCAGCCAGTGAAGACGCCATGCTCATGTCGTTCCCTCATGGCCGTGTCATGACCGCCGTCACCTCCCTCCAGTCGCGGCTGATGTTCGCCCTGACCTTGGCTGTGCTGCTCTGCCCCTTGGGCTCAGTGACGGCTCAGGGGGAAAGTCAGACCCAGTCTCCTGCCCAGGTGCTCCAGGACCTTCTGGCCCGCTATGGTGACAACACCACCATCACGGTGCCCCAGCTGCGCTCCCTGCTGGCGCTCCTCAGCCAGGATCGGGGTGACGGTAACGGCGAAAGCGGCAATGTGCCCGAGTCACCGACAAGCCCACCTCCCAAATCCAACAGGTCCAAGGTGAGAACAAAATCCCTGTCTTATCTTATCAGTCAGCACTTTGGGTTGATGGGATTCCCTGTCGTTGGTATAAAAGGTGCAAATTGAATCATATATATTTGATATTTCACCCTGAGAACAATTCACATTTGTAACTGTGCAGCAGAAAAGTAAATCCGGCTCAGTCCTGTCTGAAAGAAACAGGAGCCACTGGTTTCAGATACTTGAAATATTTAGCATTTCTCACATACTTAAGTTCATATGGTGTTATCATGTGTTCCCCTCATGTGTGACATGTCCATGCACAGGTGCTCTTTAGGTTTCTGGAGGGCATAAGTGCACATCTGCAGCTGAAGTCACCAGTCAGATGACAAGTTTCTTTCTCAGAATCATTTGAGATCTTTATCTGTGACAGCTATAACTCAGCTGGGTAGAACATAGCGTTATGGGAGGTGCACGTACATAAAGGTTTCTCTCACATGCAACAGATTACACGTGACAGCCCACATACCCTTCTTGGGAGAGTGAGAGAGATTTGTATTAATGCCAGTGGCGGTTGCACAGACAATGCAGCGACAGAGCTAGACAGCAAGTTCGAATCGTTCCTATCTCTTGTTAAAAGTGTAAATGTTTCATACCCACGTTATATCTGTTGTTGACTTGTGGACTTACATTTTACAAAATGAAAGAAAATTCAGATTCAAAAGCTCCCGCGCTCATCCAGAGATAATTCAGTTGTGTATATTGAGAACTTCACTGACAGGTTGTTGTCGTTCCCAGTGCCTGCCTGCAGACACGTTGGCCATTTACAGCATTAGTGAGCAGTCGCAGCTGGATGGGCAGGGTTTAACGGAGCTGTGCCCCACCATGCTGCAGCAGCTGGGTGCTGGATCCTGCAAGGTGCAAAAAGAGGACACGCTGAGCACCGACCCCCCCCCCAGGCCCTCAGGAGCTGAAGGTGAGCACCGACTGGTTCCTTATTAATGTATATAATTCATTTTTATCACAATTAACACTGTTAATTGTTTAATTATTATTTAATTGTAATTGTAATGTATTTATTTGATTTTCTGTGATTAATTTAATTTTAAAATCGAATGTTTATTTTACATATGAACATGTTTGTATAAATTATTTGTCTGTGTCTTCTGCTTTTCCATCCTGAGATATTTGTTTTCTTTTGTTTAAATTTTTTGCGTCTGTCGCATATGTGAGAAGCGTCATCAACACACGCACTCGCTCGCTGTAAATCCTGCGGAGGATCTCCTGGTGTGTTCTCACACTTCCAGTCCAGAGGCTCTCACTCGGACATTTGCTTTTACACACACAGCCCCTCCCCTCCGGAGAAGGGTCGGAGGATTTCCGTGCATGTCTGATATTTACATTAAATGTATATGATAGTTTTATTTTTCTCCAGTGAGTACATGATGTAGCTCCATTAAAGGTTTCCCCCTGTGCTCTCTCAGTTCTCCTGTGACGTGAATGGAAACTTGGATCAATGAGACCTTTCAAACAGATTTCCGAGTGCTAAATGTTTGTTTTGTTGCCTGGAGATAGTGATATTATCTTATCCCCCCCCAAAGGAAATCACAGCCAAAATATTCACAAGGCTGAGCAAAGGCTCAGATTACAATTCTTAAAAACCAACACGTCCTTTAGTTTTCACAACGCTGCCTCAGTCAGCATGACCAGTACGTAGCAGACTCATCCAGGTAGAGATTGTCTGTCAGCTGCTCTTCTCTCAGTGGCCGTTGATCCGCTGTAACTCCACGCAGACGTCCTCGAGAGCTCTGAACATCTGCGTCGAATTAAAAAAAAACAGGCAGCTCGGTGTAATCTGTTGTTTCACAAGCCGTCAAGTTCATTTTCAACTGCAGCAAAATGTACTTTCAAGTATGAGGCTGGAATAAAAACTGCGTTGACGTCTGACTTGGAAAAGCCGGTGACCTTAAGTGACCGAGGGCCTCGAAGGCTGCGGCAGCACAGCTTCAGTTGTTAGAGAAAAATAACAGTGACGACTCTGGGCAACAGTCTTCTTTGTAAACTCGTGACTTTGTCGTGCTGCGGCCTTGCTAACACGTTTTCAGATTTCACTGCGTCCTTTTAACCCAGTTTATCTTAACCTTGGCATTAGAGGAGAAGAGAAGCTTTACCGTCCCAGAGCTCTGGCTCTATCTTTCTCTCTCCACTGAAAAATATATCTTATCTTCCACTTTCAGCTCGCCTCACACTTACTGCCTGCAGGCAGTTTATTTTGGCTTCAGGGCTGTTTTTTCTTTGTATGGGTTGTTCTGTCAATTCCAGGGAAGAAATGTCCCTGAAAATGTGTCTCTATTGCAGAGTTCACAACTTGTATATCTGGTTCTTTTTAAAACCTGTCCCTCGCCTCACCTGCAACGTGCCATGATTTCTGATGACGATGTCTTTGTCTCACGTTTACTACGTGACCCCTTGACCCTAACAACTCTAGAAAGTTGGTCTTTGACTTCTTGTCAGCAGACCTATTGCACATTATTGTCTTTCGTGCAGACTCGCTGTTTTCCAGTTGTCATAAAAATGCTTTAGGTTTGATCCCCTCTGAAGAAAACTGTTCTAGATGTCTGTAATCTGTAGAACCTTCATCAGTGTCCAACTCTGAGATCTGCTTTGCTTCCCGTGGGAAGACAGTGTAAATACTTCTTGTGGTGTGCCCCAGGGTTCAGTCCTGGGGGCACTTTCTTTTCTGTCTTAACATGTTCAAACTGAATTTGTGTGTTTGCAAACATGGAGTCTGTTTTACGCAGATGACAAAGCCCTCGAGACGTTCTCAGACATGAGAGACGGACAATTGAGGCGATGGGTGGATCCTGAGCGGAGCTGCAGGAGGCAGAAACTTTCTTTACATTTTCCTGCTGACATCTCACAGGGACACATTATCCAGACTTTTAACTCAGACACATCTATGGTTAAGAATCTAGAAGTTGCATTTGATTTCATTTGAATTACACATATATGTGTAATTGATTTATGTTTTTGTAGAACTTCCTTTGTTCACTTCTTTGGTCACATTATTAAATGTCTCTCGTCTTCTTTATCTTGTGACTTGAGTGGATCTCATATCTCTTCTCTCTCATCATGAGGACATCGTCTGACACCACAGAACATTTCATTAATCTTCCATAACCTAACCGTATTTCTCCTGAACCTCTCAGGTGCTGCAGCTTCGGACAGAAATGACACTCAACACAACTTCATTCAATAACCACAATCCTTGTTTCTTTTTTCTACAGGTGTCGGGTTTGATCAAATAATAATATTCCCTTCTCACTTTGTTAGAGGCCAGAAGAGTTTTTCTTTACAAAGAGTGACATTTAGAGCAAGGTCAGAATAATGGACAGGATTTTTAGGGAAGTTTCTCATTTGCTTAATCATCTCCTGAGATTTATCTTTTGGCCTTAAAAGGGCTCAATTATACAAACTGAACAATATGTCAACTGCTAACATCCACATCACGTCAGTAACGTGTGAATTTGTTGCATTAAAGTGCATTAAAATATTGTTTTGCACAATTTTATCAGGCTGTGTTCACAGCTGTATTTTTTTAATTGGTTTGTTTTAATGCTGCACCTTCCATCACTCCACCCGTCAGTGTGGGGCTTTTCTTTCCTGAGTGTGACGGTGATCAGTGCCTTCTCCCTCACCGGAGTCCTCAGCGTGCCTCTGATGAAGACACGCTTCATGAAACACACCATCGTCTTTTTCATCGCTCTTGCCGTCGGCACGCTGTTCTCCACTGCCGTCCTGCAGCTCCTGCCAGAGGTTTGAAACCTGCCCTCGCACCTTTATCTCGTCATCTGATCACATCCCATAAACCTTTGCTCTTAAGAGACGCAAGCGCGGCAGCTGAAAACCTCATTACCTCACTGTCGTGTCACACGGATGTTTATAAAAACCCGTACACCTTTGACTTTCCTGTCGTCATTTCTCTTTCCTTCCTGGCTTTGTTCTTTTCTCTGTGGTTGTCACAGGCTCTTTAAAGCACCGGGGAAAGCTCTTTGGTGTTGCTCTACCTTCACTGCGTCACAGATCATCTGGTGGTGTGTTTATTGTGTGTGTGTGTGTGCGTGCGTGTGCTCTTTCCCGGCATTGAGATGTTGGCCTGCTTTGTCGATTTTCTTAGAAATAAAGAGCAGTTCTCTCTCTCTCTCTCTGCCCCGCAGCTTGTGAAACAGCTAAACAGCCTCGATAACTTCCATTTTTTTGGGCCGAGGGATTAATAAATCTGCTGTTCGTGACAGTCCTGGAGAAATGGAGCGCAGCGCCGTCACAACATCCTTCAAATTGAAATGTGACCCCTCATTTGCAGCTCTCCTGCTACAGTTGGGCTATTTAAAGTTCTTTTGACCCCTCCTGTGTCTTTTACCCGTAACGAGTGTTCACCCTGAGGCAATGACAGACGCACCTGAGCGGACTACGAGAAAGGATCTGTGTGTGTGTGTGCGCTTGAGATCTCAGTAAACTGTAATTTCACCTTAATTGCATCCTGTTTCTTAACTAATTAAATGCATGGGACTCGAGCACTGAGACAATCATCATCTTCACTTGCAAATGAAAGATGGTGTCACTTCTGTTTTCAATGGAAAATGACCCATTGTTTCTGGAGAGCCTCACAGGTTTCTTTAAAATCTCTTTTTTTCTCAGGTTGATTTAATCCAAATCTTTTCTTTTCAGGGGAATAACTAACTGGTGCTCTTCATTTTTTTTTTTTATCCCTCATCCTGGTATTTAATGATTTCTGAATTAACTAGCCATGTTTTTCCCCCCTCACCTTCCCTCTTCTGTTTCCTGCTTCCTCTCTGTCGATCAGTGTGGGGTTATGGGATCCTGTGTGTGACACTCATCTCTCTGTGTTCGCTGGTCGGGGCGAGCGTGGTGCCCTTCATGAAGAAAACCTTTTACAAGCGACTGCTGCTCTACTTCATAGCCCTGGCCATTGGCACGCTCTACTCCAACGCCCTGTTTCAGCTCATCCCAGAGGTAGTGTCGAAGCTGCTGTGAATCACTTTGCTGTAGCTCAGTGCAGAGTTGCTATGCAGTTTCTACAAACAGCATTGAACACAGATTTTTACCAGGATTCTAATATCTCCCTCAGTAGGATGAGTTACGACCCAATTCAGAAGAGAAAGACATTATTTCACATTTAAACCTTAAATAGACAAATGATCTATTTTTCCATCTGGTTTAAACTCAGCTCACGTGTCACGTGTCGAGCTCCCAAAATGCTTAACAGATGAGCCGAAGCTGAACACTCCCTTCAGAGCAGCAGAACCCACAAATGCAAGATATTGCCCAACACACCTTAAATGCTTAGTGCGCACACCCATCAGGTTCATAGCAGTTACACAAAAGCTGTTGTGTAACACACAGCATCACTTTGATTGAGATGACTCATCCTAGAAAAATGTTTGTACACCCTGGAAGTGGTTTTGATTTGTGTGTGTCGGTGTGTGTGTGTGCTCGAGGGGGAGTCGATTACATCCATATCTCAACACGTCTCTCAGATCAGAGGATGATATTGTTCATATTTTCATTAAACAATAGACAAAAGTGAAACTATCCACACACAGAAAACCCAGCAGAGGTAAACTTTTGTTCAGCGACCCTCACAGTGAATTTAACAATGAAAATGATTTTATTTACTCTTTTAAAGAATGCTGACAACTCAGTCCGCATCCTGTTAGAGTTCAAATCAAGCAATTTACCAACCGCTAAGTTGTTCACGCCAAAACCCCGTGTGTTCATGATCACACAGATGTTCCAGATAACACCTCATTCAAAAGATATGACCAGTAACTGATGCTAGGCAGGAATCATGAAACGGCTAATACAGATGTTTATCACTGACTAACTCTGTCTTGTTTCCTGCGTGTTAGGCGTTTGGTTTTGACCCCATGGTGGATTTCTACGTGTCCAAGTCTGCAGTCGTGTTCGGAGGATTTTACCTGTTCTTCTTCACTGAGAAGGTTCTCAAAGTGCTGCTCAAACAGAGAAATGGGGTGAGTATGTTGACGCATGATGTCAAACTCGCAAAAACCACAATCGGCTTCCTGTTTACACCCAGTGAACATGGTTTCTGATGCTCGTCTGGACGGAGACTGTTTTGGTTTCATCAGAATTTAACTTCTAACCTTCAGTAGGTCACATGTGAAGTGAACATTACACAATTAATTAAAAATACATAGATTCATGAATATAACTTTATTTGTTTGATTTATTTCCCTTTATTGTTTTAATATCCAGTCAGTCTGTTCCTCTTTTTCAAATGGCTCGAGTCCATGAATCTTCAGTTGTGCTTTCCTTCACTCAATGACTCATGTTTCCTGCCCGCTGTTTATGTACGCTAATATTTTCCTCACTCTTCACGGAACTCTTCCAGTTCGACTTGTTTTTGGTTCTCGGTCACATCCCTGTGTCTATTTGCCGACATGCAGTAGTCATGTATGTGGCAGTTACTAAAACATGTGTATTTAACACAGATGTGTCGTTTCCATGAAGGTGCAGCAGAGTTTTACCTTTAAAACCTCAAACTGTCTCGACTCAGTGTGATGCTCTCGGCATTCACTCCTCCAGTGCTGCCGGGTTCATTCACAAACAGCAGCAGTTAGTGATAGAGGTGGAGGATTGTGGGAGATTTGCTCCACCTTGTGGTTACTCTGGTTTGGTCCATATGGTTCAGCCAGTTTAAAGAACGGCTAACACGACCACCTGCTGATCCAATTACAGACGCTCTTTGACCCACATTAGCTCTTACATCGCTGCAGCTAATTCTCCAGCTCACTACACGAGGCAGTCAACTCGTTTTTAAAACATTTGCATAATTCTGTTTTATAATATTAAGACATCCTTGAGTTTAATGCTGAGTTTGTTTTGCTCCAGCCGACACTTATTTTAGTTTGATGAACTCAGAGCAAATGCTGCCAGAGAGGTTCAGTTCAGGGCGAGATGGATTTAATATGATGTTTCAGACATGAACCCTGGAGAACGTCCACACAATCGGGTCTGGACTTCCTCCGGAGGTTGCCTTTCACCCAGCAGGAGATTCATGGCTGTTCGTTTCTGTTTCCTCGCCGTCTGTCAGAGCCACGGTCACAGCCATTACCCCAGCGCAGATCGTTGCTCGTCACCTGACAGGGATTTGGAGGAGGGCGAGAAGGAGAAGCTGCAGCAGAACGGAGAAGCCGGCAGTCTGGCTGCGGGCAAAGTGGACGCCGGCGAGGGCGAGCTCATGCTCAGCCCCGCACAGACGCCGCAGGTAAGAACAGGGTGACGCGTGGATGAAGATCGGACAAACACTTGAGGAACATGAAGCAACTGAGAAAATATCATGAAGTAGCTCAAGAGAATAAAAACATTGTTTTGTTATCAGCATTAATGCAGAAATATTGAGGACAATTGAGTTAAACTAAGTTTAATCATCGTGTGGTTATTAAAGACAGTTTGGACCAATAGATGGACGATGTGATATTTTCATCCACACGTTTTAAGGACTCCCAGAGACCAGACAGCTCCGGGAGATCCGGAGGAGGCGGTGGCTGCTATTGGCTGAAGGGGACGACCTATTCTGACATCGGCACTCTGGCGTGGATGATCACGCTGAGCGACGGTCTGCACAACTTCATCGATGGCTTGGCTATCGGAGCGTCCTTCACTTCGTCCGTCTTCCAGGGCATCAGCACATCTGTGGCCATCCTGTGTGAGGAGTTCCCCCACGAGCTGGGTGAGTCGGGCCGGTTTCACTTCGGCAGCGGACAGGAACTTTTTCTGCCTCTAATGTTTACAAGAGTTTCAACTGATCATCATTTTTTAAATATTTCTATTTTTATCTACAAATCTTTGGTGGAGCTTCGTCTCTTTTTGTTGTTCTAACTTTTGTTCTGTCACCAGGAGACTTTGTGATCCTGCTGAACGCCGGCATGAGCATACAACAGGCTCTTTTCTTTAACTTCCTGTCGGCCTGTTGCTGTTACCTGGGAATGGGCTTCGGCATCCTGGCCGGCAACAGTTTCTCACCCAACTGGATCTTCGCCCTGGCAGGAGGAATGTTCCTCTACATCGCTCTGGCAGACATGGTCAGTGTTTGGGGGGGAAAGGGATGATTTGCTTCTCTAGAGCCAGAACACACACACACACAGCTGATTTCACAGGCAAAGTTTTAACTCTGTCTTATACTTTCCAGTTCCCAGAGATGAACGAGGTGAGTCGCGAGGAAGAGGACGCCGGCGGCAGCAGCTTCCTCCTCACCTTTGCCATCCAGAACGCCGGCCTGCTGACGGGCTTCTCCATCATGCTCCTCCTCACCATATACTCCGGACAGATACAGATGGGCTAGCACCAGACTCCTCCGCACCAACACCGGCCCGTGCAGCGTGAACCTGGGACATCTTCTGGTTTGTGCCGGTGGAAACTGGCTCAGAGACGAGGAGGCTGAAACTTCTTTTCCTCTTTATCTTCCTCCCTTCTTAAGCTATCTGGACTCTGGAGTTTGGGGAGTTTAGCTGTGCGGCAGGTACGCACACTCCTCTGTAGTACATATTTGAGAAGCTGTTCATACATGCAGTATATCCCAGGCAGGGGGGGGGGGCTGCTACTCCCTCTGGAGCATTAACCGACGCAGCGTTCAGCCTACAAAGACGACTAAAGATGCGCTGAGCAGTTTGGCAATACTCGGCCAAACTTCTCTATCCCTCAAACTGCTGATCGGCCATTGCGGCTCCTGCTCTTGTTCTCTCGACCTTCCCTCGGTGGAAGCAACCGAGCCTCGTCCAGAGTCCGTTGAGATTCATTAGATGTTGAGTGTTTGTGTCACTGATCCTCTGTGGCTGTAACGTTCCCTCAGGGGGGGAGAAAAGCACAATCAGGTAACAGCAGCTGTGTTAATGACCTTAATGATCTTTATGTCCTTTAGACTCCTCGACCCCCCCCCGTGTTTTCACTCCACACCAAAAACCAATTATTATGGAACTGAAACTGGAATTCATATCAAGTGTTGACATGAAACTGGCTTCCAGCTGGACTTTGTCGTTTGTGTGTTGATGTTATATTTTCTTACACGTGAAAAATGTGAAAAAACGATCAGTCTTTTGAAGAATATCGGCAGACGGACGAGAACGATGAAGGGCTACGCAGTGACGTCATCCTCCTGACTTGTCTACATCCTCGACAGGCAGATCCAAAATCCTCCCGAAGTTATTTCCTGTAAAAAGTTTGATTTTAGTCACTATCCTCAGCAGCACTTTCCAGTCATAGTTTAATACTGTAAACTGAATCATACACGTATACGCACACTTTGTCTACGGCTCGGGTCTGTGGTCCTATCTTTATTAATCATCCATAACAGAAAAATGAGATTATATACTTTATTTAGTTACTGTACCTAACACTGTGTGGCCATAAGTATGGAGACAGACATTTATTTGAAGAACCAATAAGATGGGTTGAAAACACAAATCTCTCCTCTGATATTATTCAGACTCTACGATGCAAAATAGACAAAAAACTTTCAGGACTGCGTTTGGGTTCGACCCCTCGATGAAGAAGAAAAACTTTTTGAGCTGAATCAATTAGTTTATTAATCGATTCATCTTAAATTTAATCTGCAACTATTTTAGTGAATCGAGCTGAAATCACTGGTTCCAGCATCTTAAATAAAATAAATAAATAAATAAAAACAGACAGTTTAATATGTGTTTTGAAAAATGTGTGAATAAAGTTACTGATTATTTTGGATTCGCTGACTCAATAAATTCGCCAGTTCTTTAAAAAGATTCATTTGGAAGAATTCATCTCTGATCCTCTTGTGGCTGAACACGAGCAAACAGCTGCCGCCAAAAGAAAGGAGGTGTTTAGATGTCCGCATACTTTTGGCCATGTAGTGTAACGTAAATCTGAAGGGATCCAGTGAACGTGAGAGCTGAAATGTCTGATTGTTTCTCTGCAGCATTCAGGGGCCGTGTCGCTGGTGTTTGTCATGTGTGTTTAAATGTGACTGGTTCTACTTTAACTAACTCTAACATCCGTGTTGTGCAGTTCAGTCCACGCTCGGTGGATCTCTGTTGAGCTACAGCTTAACGATATCTTCGGTTGCACAGACTCTTCACAATATTCAAAGTTCAACCAGTCACCAGAAGCTACAATGTGAGTCACGGTTAAAATTGTAGAATATTATTTATTAGAAATAGAAACGAGAAGAAGTGATCGGATGTTGTGTTGTACAGTCGCGCTAACAAATTAAAGAGATTTCTGTTATTTCTGGTTGGAAAGGTGAAGCCATTGAAACAACTGGTACCATGCGGGTACAGTGTTACTGCTGTGTAATCACTCTAATGTATGGGGGGTTATTTATTATGGTTTGAGCCATAAAATATTTATTTCATGATTTACACCGGATATGAAAAGGTTAATTTTAGTTTTCCACTATGAGCACGAGGGAGTGTTTGTCATTTCTTTTGTTCTGATATTACAGCTGAAGTCGGAGTCGCTGCTTCACACAAACCTCAGTGTTCTTCAGTTCACACACTAACAATAGACCACACAACAAACACACAGGAGCAAACACACAACTCAAGTGTTGCTGCGTCGAACAGCCAACAAACTAACGTTCAACTTTATGAAGATTTTAACAGTTATCAATTTATAAATCCTCTTTCATACTCGTAATCTTCTTTAAGAAAGATATTGTACCTTGTGTAATTCATGTGAATCCTCATAAGCCTTCTCGGAGTGTCATGGGAGAACTTTTTTTTATAAACATAATTTTACAAGAAAATATTGTGTCGAGTGTCGTCATTGAATCTTTAATGTTAAACTGTGAGATTTGATTTTTATTTAGACACAAACAAGGTATTTTTTTCCAGTATAATGAGACTTAATGTGTCAAACATCAGCACTTTCTCCAAAATGGAGGAAGAATTCTGATCTTTTCTAAAATATGCAATATCACAATTTAGACAAAATCCTGCTCTTCAAATGTTAAAAGTATGTAACTATCAGACAGTGGTGGAAAGCAAGTACAAGTACATCTCTGGAATCTTTGTACTTTACTTGAGTATTTCCTTTTACTGCAACTTCTGTTCCATTACAGTTCATGTAAATGTGCTTGAGCTCTGTCCACCTTCATCCTCATACGAAGATGTCGGCTCACAAACAAATGTGGGTTTCAGAGTGAATTTAAATCCAGATAAAATAATGCTTTACTTGTTCCACTACAGGGAGATTTGATGTTCTACAGGAGGAAAGCTGGATAGTGAAGGTACACGTTGTCTTTTATAGTAATCTTAATCTTTTAAAATACTTTTTATTGTTTGAACATATTTTCCAAGCTTAAGTTGTTCGGCTGAAAAGCACATGGAGCCGGATTCATACTATGAAATGTGTGATACAGTTATGAAAAAATAATACAAATAATCATTTTAAGATACAACATAAACAGAAGAGCAATATGCTTCTGTACTTTTCTGCTTGATACCACTTTTACTTTTGGCCCTTAAATTACCTGAGGTTGCTAATATCTTAATTTTAAGTCCGTGGCTCATGTTTTGTTTGGTTATAAATAATTTAAATGACTAAAAAACAATCAAAACCACTTGAGCTTTACTAGAGTCTTTATTTTTCAGGACACACAAAATAATAATAATAATAATTTTTTCAGTTTTTCTGACAATTTTTTTTTTTTTCTGTTTTTCTGACAAATTTTTTTTTTCTTCTGTTTATTGGACATTTTTTTTTTCTGTTTTTCTGACAAATTTTTTTCTGTTTTTCGGACTAATTTGTTTTCTGAGTTCAGAGAGCATCTGAAACAACAGACGCATTCATTCCTTCATCGAGAGCTCGATGTGATGGACACAAACATGACCGGCTTGTTTAGTTTGATCTGGTTTAAGACTCTGGGAGATCGTCGGGTCTTTAAGTCCGATCGATGTATTATCATTAGTTTGTTCGACTCTACGCAGACACATGAGGAACATGCAGGAGTCACCATAGGTCCATGGGAGTCGCCCGCAGGTTGGAGGTTCTTGGAGGAGTTCGAAGAATCTCGATACAAATAAAAAACAGAAAAATAAAAAAATTTGTCAGAAAAATAAAAAATTTGTCCGAAAAACAGAAAAATAAAAAAATTTGTCAGAAAAACAGAAAAATAAAAAAATTGGTCAGAAAAACAAAAAATTTGTCTGAAAAACAGAAAAACAACAAATTTGTCAGAAAAACCAAAAAATTGTCAGAAAAACAGAAAAATAAAAAATTTGTCACAAAAACAGAAAAAATTGGTCCGCAAAACAGAAAAATTTAAAATTTGTCCACAAAACAGAAAAATAAAAAAATTGTTCAGAAAAACAGAAAAATAAAAAAATTGGTCAGAAAAACAGAAAAATTCAAAATTTGTCAGAAAAACTGAAAAAAAATTTGTCAGAAAAATAAAAAAATTGGTCAGAAAAACAGAAAAATGACTCAATAAAACAAACCAAAAAATAAATGACTCAGTAAACCAGAGTTTTTTTTCTCAAGTGAAGGCAGCACGGAACTTCTAAAGTTATAAAAGTTTTATATAAAGTTGAACCGGGGGATGCTGCGCTGCCCTCTGGCGCCCACACGGGGGCAGCAGAGACAGACTTGTGCGCTTCTATTGCTTTTTTTTTTTTTTTCCTGCGTCACTTCCTTTAGCAGCAACTCAGCTGATTAGCTTAGCGTTAGCACCGGAAAGTTGTCAGCGGCGGTGGACGCGATGGCCTGAAGGAGCCGCGGAGGATCACAACAGGAGGTGAGGACGTTACTTCACTTCTTCACCTCCCCGCTGCTCCGACACGAGGGACCGGGGGACGGGGACAACGCCCCCGGGTGGTTAAAGTCAGCCGCCTTATGTCACACGTTAGCCGGCAGCCATTCATCAGTGTGCTGTCACCTGATGGAGCAGGTTAACTCAGCTTTAACTCAAACCAATCAACCTAATTAACCTAATTAACCTAATTAACCACCCATCACCAGGCTCAACGAGCAGCAGGAGCTGTCACTACTCAACTAGTCCTGACAGTTAACTAACCAGCTAACTAACCAGCTAACTACCTGTGTAGCTGACGTTAGCTTCAGCTCCAGCAGCTCAGCTGGTTCCTGGTCCGCAGCTGTTTAACATCAATCAAATATAAAGTGAGACTTAATTCAAAGTCAGACACTGAGACTGGATTCAGAGGCAGTTCCTCATGAGGATGATGAGGATGATGAGGCACAAGGATCAAACCTGTCTCTTAAAGTCATTTACTAAGTTGTGTTTGTGAATAATCATGTTATCAAGTCACGTTTTATCCACATTTCCTGATTCCACAGAGTCTAATGAACTCAACATCTTTGAGTTTAGAGGTTACTTGTATTTCTGAATGTTGTTGACAGATAAAACCCAGAGAAGAGTCATGGCCTGTGCCCGAGTGCCCCTGGACGAGCTGCAGGTGACTGAGCCTGGGCCGCAGGGAAGAGAGCGCTCGCTGCCTGCACTGGTGAGTCCGATCCCCTGACGCTCGTGAGCAAACATCACAGTTCACTCCGAACAACAAGTCAAACCTTCTTCTTCTTCTTCTTCCTGCTCCACTCCACAGCACCCGGAAAGGAAGGAGGAACGCTGCTTTGTGCCTTACAAGCCTCCGCCCGAGGACGGCTCTCCTGCCGAGGTGGAGGAGTTTTTGGAATATGCCAGATTCATCATCGAGGACCTGGAGTGGCTGCTCGCGCTGCCCCACGACAAGTTCTGGTGCCAGGTAAGAGGAACACACAATCCTGTGACTTTAGAGAATGATGTGCATGAATACTACATACAGAAAAACACGAGGCAGCACAAAACAACACACCTTTCAACTCCCACAGCAACAATTATCCTCCATGAGAATTATCATCCCACTGTTGTCCTGCAGGTGGTGTTTGACGAGTCCCTGCAGTCGTGCTTGGACTCGTACCTGCGTCACACTCCCCGGAGCCTCGACCTCGCCGCCCTGCCCTCCTCCCCGGCGGTGGCTGAGATGCAGCGCTCCGTCCACAAGGTGGTCTTCTTGACCTTCCTGAGGATGGCTACACATAAAGAATCCAAGGTAGGATCAACACCGACATGTGAAACTACAAATAGATAGTTTATTGATCCTGAGGGAAGTTTAGTAGATTTAGATCCCTGACATTGCGGTTGCTCTGGGTTTGTCTGTATTTTCCAGTGATAGTGTTGTTATATTGTATAATATATAAAGTATAAAGCCTTGATATACAGTTTAACCTGCTGCCTTGTGTGTGTGTGTGTGTGTGTGTGTGTTTATGGGATGTTTGTCTCTCAGGAGAGTTTCCTCACGCCCTCAGTGTTTGGAGAAATTATCTATGAAAACTTCCTGTTTGACATTCCCAAAATCTTGGATCTGTGTGTGCTCTTTGGAAAAGGCAACAGCCAGCTGCTGCACAAGATGATAGGTGAGCTGCGTTTAAAGGTTCCTTTCAAATCTCCGTGTGGTCAGTGTGAGACACCAGAGACGTGAGGATTTTTCTTTTTCAGACGTTTATATTGTGATTTCAATCTCGGTTTTAGAATCGTTACACCACCAGCACAATATTAAATAGAATTAATATGAAGAAGAATATAAAATATTAAATTGATAGAAGAAATAGATCCAGTATGTCAAGATCCAACTTTATATTACAATGTCAGGTTTTTACTGGAGCTGCTGAGTCCTGTGTCTCATCCTCTTCATTTTCATGTTGATGTGGTTTCAGAAAACATCTTCACCCAGCAGCCGTCTTACTACAGTGACCTGGACGAGACGGTTCCCACTGTGCTGCAGGTAACATCACTTTTCAGACATTCAGCCTGATAAACAGGAAGTGTGAAACTGGCTGAAACATATGTTTGGGTTTATTTAGATTTTTCAAAAAGTGAACTGAAGACACATCTTACACACAATAATATAAATAATGTATTATTACGTATTGAGAGCAAGTTGTAAAGGTTTTCTGGGACGTAATTTCAACCTCAGGTGTTTGACTCAGTCCTGGACAAGTGTGGTCTTCAGTGTGAAGGAGCCACCGCCATGGAGCCGATGAAGCTGAACGCACACAAGCAGCCCACTGCCATGACCATGAGCCCGCAGGTCAGACACGCAGAATTATTCCAACTTGGTCAATTTTTAAATCTTGACTTTCTTCCTCACTGCAGCTTCGTGTTCCGTCACTAATGTTCATGCATGTTTTTGTTTTATTTCCTGTCTTAGGACCTTGTAGATATAATTTTGTACCTGTGTGACTCCACCACCACCATCCATGCCTTCCTGGACATCTTCCCTGCTGCCTGCTCCACCTTCTACTCCCACGGCTTCCTCAGCAGGTAGAGCAGAGGGAGGACGTCGCTCTCGACCGGCAGCTTCAACGTTTACGGTCTGTCTGATCTGCATCTTTGTTTTTTTTTTCCCTCTCGTCAGACTGACCTCGTTTTATGAGACCGCTGTGCCTGATCTCGAGAAGGCGGTGAGGAAGAGGAACTTTGATGATAAAGGGTGAGAATCTGCTTCATGTAAATGTTAATCCAGACAACCACGCGGCTGATGATGGTAAATAAATTCCCAAACCCTCCTCCAGACTTCAGGACGACTTGTGGAAGAGGTTGTCCCACTCCTGTCGCAAGATGGTGGAGATGGCTCACCTGCTGCTGCACCACACCTGCCTGCAACCCATCCTGGAGGGGTGAGTCCAAACTGTCGTCGTGTAGAATCAACTCTCAAGTATCGATGCAAGCTTTAACTCTGCTGATGCTGTTTTGCAGGAGAGAAAACATGCAAACGTTCGCAGAGGAACTTTTACAACATTTCACGTCTTTTCTACCTGAAAAAAGGTGAGAAGAGAAGTTCAGTGATTTCCAAAGTGAAGACAGAGGTTTAGTCAGTTTGTCTGTTTACGATTTGAAATAAAAAAACATTGTCATGTTAAAAGCAGGTTTTTCATTTGTTGTAATTTATTTAAATCATATTTTCAAAAGTACAATTTTTGCTGTTTGTCTGAGTGAGTAATTTTTGGCTTTCAGGTTCTTGTCAGACTACGATGAGCAGTTTCCCATCTCAGACGACATCAGCCTCCTGCATCAGGCCGTCCCCGTCATGTATCCTCATCAGCTTCAGACATAACTAATTACACAAACACATTTTGATTGACAGTCGTGGAGCCTGGGCTCTTAATTAAACAGTATTTCCTTTATTTAGTTATCAGTCGTTTCCTTTTCTTTCCTTAACTTCTGGTTTTCCTCAGCGATGAGACCAGGACGTCCTACCTGCTCCAGGGGGTGGAAAGTGCCTGGGAGAGCGTCGGGCGGCGGAAACCACAGAGCCAGATTCACCCTAAAGCCAATCAGGGAGCAGCGGGGGGAGCTGCTGCTGCTGCCGCCGCCTCCTCAGCCAGTTTTAATCGTCAGGTCCGAGAACCGAGAGAGGAGTGTGAGAGAGGAGCAGAGGCCATGTTGGATGTGCCCCAAAAAGAAAACAACGTGAGTTCTGTGATTTTTTTACAGTTTCTTGTTTACGTTTTAATGGAAGCTCAGTGTCAGTAGATTCATAAGATCCACAGCCCAGCGTGACCGTCTACTATTGTTTGAACAGTTCATGAAGCAAACATGTTCAATTTAAGGTCATTCATTAATTTACATGTCAGATTTTAAACCAAACTATATTTGCTTAAAATGTCTGTGTAGAAAAAACATGCGCATGTTTTCAGGTGTGTACGGTGAGCTCGGCCGAGCTGGAGTCTCTGCTGTCGTGTATCCGGGACCTGCTGCCTGATTTGGGCGAAGGTTTCCTGCTGGCGTGTCTGGAGGAGTACGACTACAACACTGAGCTCGTCATCAACAACATCCTGGAGGATCGTTTAACTCCGAGTCTGGACAAACTGGACCGAGCGATGCCGAGGTGACACAACACACCTCTGTCCAGAGAGAAGTATAATCCAGAGAGTATCATTAGACCGATATTCTTGTTTTTCTGTCAGGAGACTCACAATCCTGGCTTTCTGTAGTTAGTTCATTCTTTTTTCAATGTCACATTATCCTGCAGTTAAAACCTGAGATGTGATTTAAGAGTTTCCAGCGTTTCTCCCAAAAAATACAGACATTGTGGAATTTACATCATGAAAACTTCACCTCTGAATATTTTGGTCCAGTTAAAGGAGTTTTATTCAAACAATTTCTTTTAAATCTAAGTTTATGACGCCAACAAGTTCAGAGACAGTTCTTACAGCCACTCAGGTTTTATTCTGTGGACTTTTGAGTTTATGATCATCATTCGTTTTGAAGTGATTTCAGCTGATCCCACAGTTTGTTCGTCCTTTCAGGCCTGTGAAGGAGGAGATTCCAAATGTTCTGGGCGACAGATCCAACGTGTTTGATGACGATGAGTTTGACGTCTTCCGCAGGGACCAGGTGGACATGTCCCGCATCTGGAAGGGCCGGAGGTAAAAAGCATACAGGACACGCCCACTTATCAAACACTAACACATCCTGGACTCACATTGGCAAAACGACAAAGAAAAAGTAAACCATCCATATCCTGGTGACAGATGACGATATCAAATCTGTACAGACTTCAAAACTCAAAGTTCAAACCATGTAAGCGCCACGAACTGTAAATACATTTAAAGGAAACGAAGAACGCCTCCGTGTTTTCCGTCTCCTGCAGGAAAGGCGAGAACCCTCGAGAGATGCTGAACGACAAGCGGCACATCGAGGAGCAGCGGGCTCGGTATCAGGCCTACGAGACCGTGGTGGACGAGGTGGTCATCGAACCCGGTCAAACTGCCGCCGACTACGGCCTCGACGACTACGACGACGAGTACGACGACACCTACGACATGAACCAAGTGGGAGCCAACGACCTGGACAGAGACAGTTTACTGAACCGAAGGTGAATCAACTTACACAGGAAACTTTATAAATCTGGATCGTTTTTGTCCTTGAGACGGACGATAACTACAGAACGTTTGTTTCCCTGCAGACCGTTCACAATCCCACGAGTTTTGAGAAAAGGAAACAAAGCAGAGGAAGAGGAGGAGGGTGAAGATGAAGAGGAGGGAGAGAGTTCACAGGTACCGTAATGTTTTAACAATACAAGAAACAACTTTTCTATTTGGCCAGTGTTAATAAAGTTGTGTAAAATAATATAATCTGAATATAAACATACATGTGAATGAGCTGCTCAGTTTTTTTCTGATCTGTAAACTGCAGCCGACGTCTTTTAAATTTAACATATTCTCGGCGACAGACGCGTCGTGAGCTTCCTGCTGTTTCGTGGGTTTCCGTCGTGACTCCACTTCTTCCATGTGAATCCATTTTGTTTCAGAACAACGTGAACAGGGACCAGTTTGTGCAGGACCCGGCGCTGCTGAGGGAGAGAGCTGAGGCCAGAAGAGCAGCGATGCAGCAAAGACGAGGGTAAAGATTTAATGTCCTCTGTAGATCCAGGATTTTCTTTAAACCTTTATCCTCAGAACATTCAACGAGCTTTTCTCTGGAGGTTTTCCAGTTCTCTAAATTAAGGGTTTACGGTTAAAAAGTATTGTAGTGATTGTAAAGTTTTATTAAATGTAGAGTTCATACTTCCATCTCTTTACGAAACCACATTTAAATTCAGAGTTTTATTTGGATCTGCACCAAATTAAACAAACACAACATCCCTGTCCCTTCGTCCGTCTCTCCCAGTTTCCGACCGGAGCGAACCACCAACGTGGTCGGTCAACCCAAAGGCCAAGGACAAACCACGGAGACATTCCTGGACCGACGCAAGAAGGAAGCCAACAAGAACCGTGTGGCCAACCACAACCGGCGCAGCATGGCCGACCGCAAGAGGAACAAAGGCATGATCCCGTCCTGACGCGTGTCGACGGCTGCTGCTCGACCCGACTGATGGTGGCAGGGTGGTGGATAGAGAGTGTGACAGAGACAAAAGGGAAATCCAGGTTCTGGTTCCACGGACTTTCGATGGCGCTCCGGTCCTGAAGTGAAGCGGGAGAAGTCGCTGAAGGTTTTCAGTCGCTGGACAGAAATGTAATTATTGGACTTTCTGAGCAGCTCGTTGACTGAGACGCTCAACATCTGCTTTTCTTTCTCTAGCTCATCAACAACCAAAGTTCTGAGGACAAAGAATGAGAGTTTTATTTTTGCCAAGTAACAAATCAGTTTATTATTAAGATCCATAGTGATTGAGAGAAGTTTCTTTGACATCATCATCATCGAGGAGACAACATAGGAAAATAACAAAGGACGAGACATTCAGGGTTTTACAGAGACCGTCTGTAGCTGGAAGAACAATCACCGACCTGGTGTCAAAGTCTGGACATCAGCGTCTCTGAATCTCAACGAGCAGCGTATATTTAACCGCATGCGACGTCATCCCTGGTTCCAGCCTTCACACCATCGTCTCTACGTCTCGCTGCTGCTGTGTTTGTGTTTGGAAGCACGTGCTGCTCAGTGGAGCCTCGTGTCTCACACTCGCTGCTGAGACCCCCCCCACACACACAGACACACACGCTGCCACGCACAGACTATTTTCTACCACGAGAACAGATCTGTCATTTTGCTTTTTCTAATTAAAGAAAAGCTTCTTTAATTTGCTTTTTGAAGTTGACGTTGCAAAAAATAACAAAATAAATTTGATGTTATGTTTCCAACATCTTCGGACTCCGACTTCGTCTTTCACAAGATGCAAAGAATTCAAGTGGATGTGAGGTTTTTGCTTTTAGCAGGAGAACATGTCGGAGATGCTTCAGAGTTTGAAGTTAACTGTTTTGTTGAGCTGTAACATTTTAAATAAATAAAGTTTCCATAAATCCTACAATAGTTCAACACTTGCTATTTAATATTTCATCTGTAAATTATAAATAAACTCTGACTTCAGGCTTTTCTTCACACAATCATCCCGTCACTGTACGACGGAGTATTAATGTCACGGTAAAGAAAATTAAATTCTGAGATTTCGAGAAAAAAGTCGTAATTTAATCTAAGTATCGTGTTTGAGGGTGAACGTCTCCTGTTTTAAAATGAGGAGCGTCTTCTACTTTATAAGTTTCACAACTAACAAAATACTTCCTCAGCTCAACATGGTCACTAGAATCAGGAGAAGCTGAGTTTATTATAATCACACTGACGAGTTATTTATTCTTGTAAATTTACGACTTTATTCTAGCGATATTACAAGTTTCTTCTCGATGACGACTTAATTCTCCAAATCGAATGTTTTCCCTCGACGAGGCGCTAACACTCTGTTGCGTTAAATTAAAATTAGAGCCCAACAAATATGGATTATTGGGGCTGATGCAGATATTAAGGATTTAAAAGATTCTCATACTGATATTAGTTGATTTACATATTTAAAATAATTGGCAACGATTTCCAAGATGTTATCAAACCCAAGAAATGTGAGTGAGGTTTAAAAGACTTCATCATAAATAACTATAAACATAAAGAAAACTAAAAATTCAACCAAATATATAGAACTTGAATCAGGGAACTAAACAAAAGGTTCATATTCGTCGAGCAAAACAGAGAGCGACTGTAACAAACGTCTGGATTCAGACAGTTCAGGAGGTGTGTTTGTGCAATAAGGCAAATTACGGACGAGTGCAAACACTCACATCTGCTATCGACTGCTAATCCTGCACGACAACTACAGAACCGCTACCACTCACTTCTAACGGAAATACGTTTGGACACTGGAGTCGGTTACTCTTTACATCTGTTAGTCCGCATGACGCGTCTGTTGTTGACGTCGTTAGGAAATAAATCGCACGTCGACGTGTGGCGAGTGAACGTTCAGGCACAGGCTGACTCGTGAATACTCGCCGAGCTCGTCAGCGTTGACGGAGGAAAAAAAAAAAGGGGAAATGTTTTGTGGCTCAGACGCTTTTTGTGTTTGTGTCACATCGTCACAAACGAATACTTCCACAGGTGAACAGTAACAAGATCCCAGGAGAAGAACTGTTCATGCACAACAGTTCTTCGACAGTAGAGCTGAGCGAGATGACTTCAGATC